TCAAGCTCAAGGTGAGCATTTGCAATACCCACCAGTCGTTGGAAGCGTCCTCGACTCGTGGTCTACGTTATCTCTTCGCTTTCGTTTCTAAATTTTGGATCTTCTTGTCTCCACACCGATCTCCACCCGAGATCCTTCCTCCTACTCGTTATTCGCTTAGTACCATCACTAAAATTCCAATCTCAGTTAAATTCCCTCACCCAACCCGTCAGCCTTTCCCCTCCTCCTCCACTAACCGCCGGCCATCCATTGCTCCAACCATGGTGACGCCATCAATCCTCCTAGTGGCTCCTTGATTGTTGCCTAGCAATAAATAAGGGAGTTACTACTTTTTGAATTTCAAAATTTGAAATTCAAAACTTTCCTTATTTGAAATTTTCCAAAAAAGGAAGGTTTTGAGTGATCCACTCCAAATCTCATGACATGTGGATTTGATAACTTTCATCCTAGTGGCATCGATCAAATTGGAAAGTGCATACTCTCTCCCTAAATTCCCTCTCCTCCTCCTCACCATGCCGCCGGCCCTATAATGGGTTTCCCCTTTTGGTTACCACTTTAATGCCACATCATATTTGAAATTGAAATTGATTTCAAATAAAAATTTCCCTCCCATTTACTTAATCCTGAAATTAATTTCAGGATTTGGAATTAATCCCTCCCTCTCCCCTCTAGCAACCGCTGGCCATGCTTGGGATCAATTCCCATTAAATGCCACTTCATGGCATTGATCACAAGAGGCTTGGAATTCAAATTTTAAATCAAATTCCCTCCAAATTTACTTAAATCTGAATCTAATTTCAGAATTGAGTAAATCCCTTCTCCCTCTCATCTAACCTAGACTTGCTCTCCCAATCCACCCGCCCTCTCTCTCCCAACCTTGGCCGACCCCGTCCCTTTCCCTCTCGGGTGAAGTTGGATGCTCATAACAATTGGAGTCAAGAGAATACGACGACACTCTTCAACATCCACTTCAATGTTGAATAGCGGATCCGGAGCTTGAGTGGGGTCTTGTGTTCAACGCCGACGGAAGCATCAACATCCTACGATCTCCGTGCTTCGACGTAGGATTTGAAGACGAGACCACCGTGGAAGAATATTTGGAGAGAGTTGTCCCGATCCTTGCAAGCATCTACGACCGACAATTTTCCAAGTACAATTGGAGCCTCGACGGCCACTTACGACATCCCTCCCCACCGGCTTCCTTTCCTCCGACGAAGTTCTTCGGCGCCCTCTCTCTAGTGGTAACATCCTTCATCGCTTGGATCTTCTATCTCCGCTAAAAGCCTACCAATCTTTGAGTGAGACGGCCACGAGGTGAAATTCTCGTTGTTAAACATTGGATTTTTGTTAATTGTACTTTGCATTTAAATTCTCCTTGAACTTTGAATGAATTGATTTGGTTAATCTCTATTGCAAATCTTTGGCCTAAGCAAGTTAACGTTTCTAATTCTTAACCCTATCTTGCATGATCAAAATAAACTTATAATAGCAAACTTAAACAATTCTCTTTTTAATTTTAATCGTAACTCCTAGTAGTTTCACATCATCAATCCTACCACCAAAGAGTTTCCTTTAACCTCTGTTCCTCCCCAAGACAAGTTTATACTTTTTCTAATGATGAGATTTCTAAAAGCTCCACAGAGTGGGGGTAGGAAACCTTACTATGAGGCCCTTCTCCCCACCATCCATAAAGCTCGGACGTTCAAAGGTTCACTCAGTTTCTCTCCTTAAGTGAGGGTTTCTTCCTTCTTAAGTTATAGACCCTAGAGGATTTTGACATGGTGTGGACAACTGGTTCTTGATTTTTAGTGGGTAAGCATTTTATTTTCCAGAAAGGGTCCAATTTGTTTATACTGAAATGTGATGAGTTCTCATCCATATCCCTTTTCATCAAAATCCATGACCTCCCTCTTTCATGCTGGAATTCTAATGGATTATAAAAATTGTCAGTTTTGTTGGTTGACCTCTCGTCATCAACTCTCTAAAGGTAAAAAAAACTTGACTAACTTTTGTGAGAGTTTGTGTCTTGGTCCAAAATACATCTTCCCTCCCATATGAAATTTATGTTTCAGTTGCTGGAAAAAAAATTATATATCACAGGGTTCAATATAATGGAAAACCGCCTTATGTGTCAGTTGTGTCTCTTTGGTGCATCCCTCAAACTTTTGCCACATCAAACCACCCACATAATTAAAAGTCACAACTGAACCTACGGGGTAGAAGAATAAGTCGAAAGGCCAGGAGACCCCCACCCCGCCTCTCTGTTCCTAAGCCCTCTCACGCTCTCACGGCTCAACTAGCAACCTCTTACCCAACCATGCCTATAATATCCAATGCCTCCACCAACTTCGAAAAGCCCCCACATGCGTCTATTTCAATGCCAGAAATGTGCACCTCTACTACACAGACAAAGAGCCCCTACCGAACTTTAAGACCACATTTGAAAAACATCACCCTCCACCAAATCCCTCTATGATTTTTCTTTCAGAAAACCTTGCCCTCTTGCCTACAAAAAATAAGTTATTTGTCATTCAGTCTGAAGAGCTCCATCCAAACCATCTCACAGATGAATCAATGCCAAAAAATAATATGCCGTAAAACTAGCATCAACCCAATCAACCTCCCAAGCCCACCAGATCAAAGAGTGTCATGAAGGCAGCCACCACCAACACAAAATCCTAATGAACCTCCCTAACATTGCAACTTGGAATGTTAGAGGTTTCAATAGCCTTGAAAAAATCCTTAATTGTAAATAGCTTGTCCGTTCTTGCTGCTTAGATATGTTGTGTATTCTGGAACTGGAAGCAAAGATTCGTAAATATGTGGCAAGTGTTCTCATCTTCGTTGCCTCTCATAAAATTTTGAAAATGAAGCCTGATTTTATAATTTTGATTTCTCAGAACCCGGAATAATCATGATTAAATAGAAAGACTTTAGTGTTACATTCCAACCTATTTTTTCTTCAAATCAACTGATACATGGAACTCTTTATTTTGGTTCTAGCCCCTCCTATCAAATTTTGGCGGTCTATACTTCTAATTCTCAAGTGGAACGACAACTACTTTGACAAAATACTTTATCAATTGTCGGTAATATTACCTTACCTTGGGCTATTATTGGAGATGTTAATGGTTGCAGATTTAGCCATGAAAAGTTTGGAAGTGCCTTCATACACAATAGTAAACTAAGGGACTTTAATAATCTCATTTTTAATTCTAGAGTTCATAATCTTGTGTCTGTTGGCCTTTTTTTTTACATGGTTTAATCAAAGAAGTGTCAATCCTATTCATATAAAGTCGGATAGGGTTCTAGTTAATGATTGGAGCTTTTCCCTTCTTCTTTTTACAAAGTTGATGACCCAAGATGCTTTGACCATAGCCCTCTTGTGCTGCTCTGCAACTCCCTTGATAGTAAAAAGCATAAATTCTTATACAAAAACTATTGGTCTAAACAAACCAATTTATGAGATGCTCTTATTTCAATCTAGCCCAAAATTATGGTGGTAGTTCAAATGCTTCTTTCTATTGCAAGTTGCAAAAGCTAAAAGGTCTTATCAAATCCAAAACTTGGGGGGGCATCCTCCAACTATCTTTATAAAGCTATTCTTGATCTTCAAAACACTCAAAACCTGTACTTAAAGCAAATCCAAAACAACCTGCTCAATCTATGATGCACCAACACACATTCTTATGAAGGTATGCAGTGTCAAACATGTGTCAGACACGTCCAAAGCTGTGTCCAATTAACATAATAATTAATTTGAAATGGACAAGCGTCTCGGACATGTATGTCCTAATATTTAATTATAAAAAATCCTAATTAATAAAATGAGCCCCATTCTAAGTAGTTGTGTATGTCGTATCCCTTCGTATTCCTCATTTCTATGAGCGAGCAAGCCAAGATTTACACAAGTGTCATTTTTTTCATTTACATGAGCAGGTGAGGCCGAAGGAGGCTGATAAGCGAGCAAGCGAGGCTGAAGGAGGCTAATACACGAGCAGACGAGACTAGAGGCTAATGTACTGAAGCAGGCTAAAACATTTATTTCATGATATCTTGCCGCTCCTTATATTATATATGGAGTGAGAAGAATGAAGGAGATTTGGTGAAAAAATGAATAGCATTTCGACAGTCAGCTACAATATTAAGAAAGCAATTCTTCTAAAAATTTCTAGGTGAAGTTTGATAATATTAAACATATTTTATCTCAATGCCATTGATGCCACAGGTTTTACTTCTGGCTATTCTTTGGGAGTTTTTGGTATGTGCTTATGGTTTTGGTTTAATTGTGCTAGAAGTGGCCTGGTTTGGCTTGTTGTTGTTGGATGAGGAATTATGTGACTCGAAAATGCTGTTTCACCTGCAATTTCGTTTTTGGTATGGCTTATGTTGCCTTCTTCCTAAGCAGCCTATTTTGAACTCATGGTGGGTTTCTTGGTGCTTTGCATTGGGGACAGTGATGAATGTTGGTTGACAACCAAGCTGGTCCCCCTTAGATGGTCCATGTAGCAGCTAGGGGAACCTTTTTTCCCCTCATGACTCTATAAAAGTCCACTTATTTATTGCATCCTTTTTTATCTCACAGGTTTGTTGTATTCATTTTTTGGAGCTCTGTTTGTGAGGTTGGCTACATTTTGGCAGCTCTAACCATTTCATTTTTTTTCTATACTTCATGAGTTGTAAATTTTGTTTTTTGGCTTTTGGGATTTAATTTTATAACCAACCCCCCAAGTGTATTCATTTTTTGGGAGCTCTGTTTGTGAGGTTGACTCTATTTTGGCAGCTCTAACCATTTCATTTTTTTTTTCTATACTTCATGAGTTGTAAATTTTGTTTTTTGGTTTTTGGGATTTAATTTTGACATATAGGTA